TGTGTCCCGGCCCTGGTATTCCTCGGAGGTCGCCCTTCCAAGTACTTGCCAGGGTCGGTCCTGCTTAGCTTCTGAGAACTGATGAGATCAGGCTTGTCTGGGTTATCCAGGTCAGGGCCAAGAATTATGAATGTTTAAAGAATTTGTGAAGAGGGAGCAGCAACCTGTTCCCAACTGTCCAGAGAGAGCACTATGTGCATACAGTTGCTCCTCCCCAACATGTTCTCATTCTATTCCAGAATGTCTCAAAAGGGCCAGAGCCTGCATGTGTGCAATGGCACAAGAAGGTAGAATGGACTTTGCTAGTTCAGAATGCAGCTGGGGGGAGGTCATTTTGTTACAAATATTCCCTCGTTAAAAGTTTTCAGCAAACAAAAATCATTCTAACACTTGAGTTAGAACCTTTTTCTCTAACATGCAAGTTTTCTACTGACATATATTATAAAGTGGAGAGCTTTCAGAAGTGGTAACCCTGGCTTAAAGTTTAAAGTGGTCCAGGCCATTCTACCATCTCTTTTTTGCTTTACTGCATAGACCTCGCCATATTCACATTCAGCTCAAAAAAATCTCTTTCTCTTCCTTGGCAAAGCTTTCTGCAAGCCTTTTTCCCAGGCACTTAGGCCTGCGTCTTCACCTTGTCTTCTGGCATTGATTCTTGCATAGATAGTTTTACCTGACTCTGCAGGAGTGGGGTCAGGATTCCTTCCAGTGCTGGATAGAATGCTGTTGTCCAGTACAGCAACCAGGACTATTAGAGGCCTGATGTGATGATAGCTAGAGGGCATGGGTCATTTCGTAGAAAAAGAGCTAGGGGAACTCATTAGCATAACTCATTAGCATATGCCACACCCCCTGACATCAGCGGCCCGGCGGTGGACCTGCAAGGCCAGCGGGAGTGCGAGGAAGCCCCGCCAAGGCCCTCCCTGGCCCCAGGCAGGCAGGGGTCCTGGCTGAATGAGGGCTGGAAGCGGGGGGCCGGAAGCAGGGGGCGGGGCTTCATCATGTGCCCCGCCCCCTGCACCTCACCCGGGGGAACTGTGTTCCCCCGCGTTCCTCCCCGAAATGACCTCTGCTAGAGGGACAGAAAGCAGCAGAGGCTACCTGGAAACTCCATGTTAATCAAGTGTTGGGATTGATGGAGCGCTGTCACTTGGGGGCTACTTTGCTGTTGTTACCAAGTTGAAAACAAGGACGATGGATCTGATATGCCTTTCAGCTACTCAGAGCTAAGCTATATACATTCTTGTGGCAGCGACATAAGCTTATACTTCGAATCCTCGAAAGTAATGTTTTCACTAATGGTGTTACAATTTATAAGCACTGATCTGGATAAGAGCCAGGCAATGTCTGACATTCCCAACCACCCTTTCTCCAAACCTTCAGAATATTTATTTTAAAACTTGGGGGAGCCAGAGGTGGGGTTTAGAAAATGTTTTCCTTAATTTAAACCTTTTGTTTTTAATTTACTATTCATCTATATATAAGGCCAGTGATGAAAATGCTTGTTTTGTCTGGTGATGTTAATCCTTGCAAAACGCTTATTTTTAGACCGCCTTGGAGTCAGCCAAACATGCAGCAGCCCACAATCTGTCTTCTTTCTGACAGGGAGAATACAAACCTCCATCATTTTCATGTTTTGTTGTTAGTTTTAAAAGCCATTACATTCAAGTGGATTCTAAACACAGCCATCCAAATCGTACCTCCCTTAGCTGAATCATTGCAATTCTGAACTGACAGTTGTGTATTGTGCCGGCACTGCTAGCAATATAATACTGTACAATTGTTCTTTCTTGTGTCTGGAGCTCCAAGAAGAGATGGTGAGTTGGATAACTATGAGTTGGGAGTCAGAAAGCAGGTTCCAGGCTGCATCTGTATGAACACAAGTGAACACTACAAAGTCTGAGTCCAGTGGCACCTTTAAGACCAACAAAGTTTAATTCTGGGTATAAGCTTCTTCAGGTGAGTGGGGATTTGAACCTGGATCCCTGTCCAACACTCTAACCATGACTTCACACTGGCTCACTGATTGGTGCATTGTTTCCAACACAGCCTGTTATTTTGTAACATTTTCCCTCAAGGAGCTCTAGGAACATGTTAAGTATGTGTGGGTAGTTTTCATTATTAGGGAAGGGGAAAGGGAGAAGATACAGATTCCTTTGGCCCTTACAATGGTAAAGTTTTCAAGGATGAGAAATGAAAAAGATGAAGGAAAGTCCCCTAGGCAGGGTTGTCAAGTCATAAGAACGTAAGAGTAGCCAATGTTGGATCAGGCCAATGGCCCATCTAGTCCAACACTGTGTCACACAGTGCCAAAAATACCAGGTGCCATCAGGAGGCCCAGCAGTGGGGCCAGGAGGACACTAGAAGCCCTCCCACTATTGCCCCCCCAAGCACCAAGAATACAGAGCATCCCTTGCCCCAGACTGAGAGTTCCTATCTATACCTTATGGCTAATAGCCACTGATGGACTTCTGCTCCATATACTTATCTAATTCCCCCTTGAAGCCGTCCATGCTTGTAGCTGCCACCAGCTCCTGTGGCAGTGAATTCCATGTGTGAAGAAGTACTTCCTTTTATCTGTTCTAACCCGACTGCTCAGTAATTTCATTGAGTGCCCACGAGTTCTTGTATTGTGAGAAAGGGAGAAAAGTACTGCTTTCTCAACCTGCTCTATCCCATGCATAATCTTATAAACCTCGATCATGTCACCCCTTAGCTGTCGTTTCTCCAAGCTAAAGAGCCACAAGCGCTTTAACACTTCTTCATAGGGAAAGTGTTCCAACCCTTTTATCATTCTAGTTGCCCTTTTTGGCACTTTCTCCAATGCTAGAATATCCTTTCTGAGATGTGGTGACCAGAACTGTACACAGCCATGAGAGCCTGAGATCCCGAGTGGCAGAGGGAGGAGACTGGGGGGGGGGGGGAGCAACAGGTTCTACCTAGAAACTCAAGGACACAGGCGAGGGTAATACACAAGTTTCTCTTGAGGCCAAATATTAACCCCCCAACAATGCATAAGGGAAAGACATTTTATTTGCTTTCTACCTTACCTTTCAATCGAGAATGTTTCCCAAGGTGGCTTACCCAAAATGATAAAATATGCCATGTAGTGTTTTGCTAACCTTTCTGGACCCCATGCGGATGATGGCAGCTGCACAGCTGGGCCACCCGCAGACAAGGAAGGCATCAGTATTCACCTGGGGGGCTCTCCAGGTATGAAAAAAAATGTAAATTAACCCAAAACAAAATCCTCTAAAAATGTGTCTAATGGGCACTGAAAATGCTCCAAAAAGGCTGTAGTACTAACTGAAAAGAAGGCGGCGGGGGGGGGGGGGCCATAAAATTTAGAGGGGTGGCAGGGTGGGGGGAGGGCACTAGAATTTAGATGGGATTTTGTGGGGGAGGGGCTTCCAAATTGTTTATCCCTCTTCCAGCAATCCCAGTGCCAGGAAGCAACATCAGATGAGGACTTGGCCTCTATCCCATTTGTTTCCCCTCTGAGGCAACTGGTTGGCCACTGTGTGAAACAGGATGCTTGCCCAGAGGAACAACTGGTCAGATCCAGCAGGGCACCTCTTAGGTTCTTATGACTCCCAGCAAAGGGGACAGAAACACCCTGTTTAATTGTATTTTATCAAATACCTCCTTACATATAAGTGTGTGCATACTCACACATGTGCAGTGCATTCCTAAGCAGAGTTACACAAACCCACTGACAGCAATGGCCCTGGAAAGGCGGCGGAACTCTTCTTAGAATTACACTATTACTGTCTTAACAAAAGCTGGTGCTTAGCATATCTAGTGCATGATCTCTGTATTTTTGTTAAATTCATTTATACCCTGCCTTTCTCCATAAAGGGGCTTACATTAGTCTGCTGCTGTCCATTTTATCCTCACAACAGTACTGTGAAGCAGGGAAGTCCCAAGTAGCTGACTGGCCAAAGGTCTCCCAGCAAGCTTCCATGGCAGAGTGAGGATTTGAGCCTGGGTCACCCAGATCCTAGTCCAGCATTCTAACCATTTGAATTTTAGATCATCGCCTTTCACCCTGGACTCCTTGCATTTCACAGCTTCACAACCCTGATCTCCGCCCCTCATCCTATTATACAAATGTCTGCATTCGAATAAATGGGAGTCTAGACCACAAGAGCTTATGTAGCAATAAAATCTGTACCAGTCTTTTAAGATTCTGCAAAACTGCGTATTATAATTGAATATCTCTATCTAACCATACAGAACAAAGTTTGATTTCAGGGGCACCTTTAAGACCAGCAAAGTTTAATTCTGTGCGTGCAGACGAAAGTTTGTACCCAGAATTGAGCTTTGCTGGCTTTAAAGGTGCCACTGGACTCAAACTTTATTCTGCGGCTTCGGACCCGGCAGGTCCCTTCCCTAGACCGCCTGGAGGAAACTTCCACCTATCCCCTCCCTCCAAGCCCTCCTCTCTCCCACTTCCCAGGAGGGCCGTGCCCACGTTCACACCACGGGGGCCGGCTCTTCCCTTTCCCCCTGCCTGGAGGCTTACTTAACAGCGCCGCCTTCCCCTTGGAAGCCAGGCACTTCCCCCTCAAGGAAAGTCGCGCCAGCCGGTCTGGTCTCCAAGCAGGGCGGAGAGCCACTCCGGATAGGAGCCCTTCTCTCCCGCCCACCCCTTTCCTCTCTGCCCTGTTGGTACATTCCCTTCCAAGTGGAAACCAAGGTGGGAGGGGAGGAATAACTGCCAATAACCGCCGTTCGGCCGAGCGAAGGCGGTGGGCGGGGCCGAACTCAGGTTAGAGCCAGAGACCGGCCGAAGGGGGCGGGGGGACCCTCGAGGGGCGCGCGCGAGAGAGCGCTCGTGCATGTGGAGCATGCGCGGGGCCGGGGGGGATGGAAAGCGGGACGCGTGGGCGGAGCTTACCCCCTCAGGAGCCTCTGGCAGAGCCGGGCGCGCGAGTTGGCCGGCGCGTTTCCTTGCGTCTCTGTCTTCCCCCTCGGCCGCCTCAGTGCGCCAGTTGAAGCGTTCGGCGGCGGCGGCGGGGCAAGGACGGGACGGGCTCGCCGGTGTTGGATGGAGGCTCCCGTCCGCCTCGCCTGTTCTCTCTGGAATGTACCGGGGAGCGGCTGCCGAGCGGGAGCCAGGGCTCTATGGGCGCTGCTGAGAGGTGAGAAGGAGCCGGGGTCTGAGAGAGAGGGAGCGGGAAGGAGGAGAGCCGGGACGGCCTGGGCTGGCCCGCCCGGACTGGGACTGGGAGCAGCGGTGGTGGTGATGTCAGCACGGGGGCACCCGGCGTGTAGGTCGGGGGTGAGAGCCCAGGGGGCGGACGGGGGGGGCTATTCCAGAAGGTCTCGTCGGCGCGGGCTGCTGCGGCTGCGGTGGGGGAACATCTCGTGGCAGCACCTCCGGGGCTGGCACGTTCGCAGCGCGTTGGTGGAGCAGAGCCGGCTCGGTCGGAGTCAGCGGAGCAGGATAAACATCCTCCACCTCCAGCATGCTGCAGTCTGCTCCTGCCCGGGTGTTCGAGTTGGTCGCTGCCGCGCAAGCCCCTCGGGAGTGCCAAAGACCGGCATCCCGTGAGGTGGTGCTGCGATCCGTCCGACCAAGCGCGGCTCTGCATCTGCCCTCCGCAAAGTGCTGCAAAGCTTGGGTGCTGTAACGAGACGAGCCCCATGCGGGGTTGCTTTCCGTGTAAGGCCGTCGGTTGCAGCGGGCTTAGAGTGGAGTCGCTCTGGACTACGCTGAAACAGGGTCACCCATCCGGAATTGGAAAGAGGGTACAGTTTGCTTCATCTGCAGTAATTCGCCGTTTTGTCTCGGGCATGCAGGGATGCATGCAGGAAGGGAGAAGTAATTGGTCTGGAAGGTCCTCTTTATCCCGGGACTGGAAAGAGGAAGTGTTGCGGTTTTATGGCTTCTGACATCTGTAAAATCCAGGCATCCAACCTTATCTAAAGTTGGCATTTAATGGGAAAGCAAGTGATCTGTTTGAGGAGAGCACCTCCTTAGGCTCCCCCTCTTCCATGCAACTGGACTTTACAGTGCGGAACAGTGTCAGTCTTGTGGTCTAGATCAGCTTGTTTGTAATCAGTGCTGCTCCCTGGTTCCTTAACTGCAAGAGTAATTGGGGATGGTGGATCGGAAAAAAGGTTCCACCCTGATTTGACAAGACATAGGCTAGAATAGGTACTCTGTCTTGTATTCTGTTAAAGAAACAGAATACAAGGCATCACTTGCATATTGTGTCTCTTTGAATGGTTTGATTTCAAATTGCTTTACTGTTAAAATATACTCTACCTACTTTACACAGCAGTTCTGAAATATTTCTGTGCCAACTGGGAAGAAGATGTTTAATTCTTAGGGTCAAGGATAGCCGTTTAAGTAGATTGCATTCTTCTTGAGTAGAATTCATCTTCAGAAGCTGTTATGTATATAGGTGGGAGGCTAGGAGTGAGTAGTGGTGACAGTAGTTGGATGCTGATACTGCATATCCCAGAATGGATTTCTAAAGAACTGGGTGATTGGTTCCTAAGCAGTTGCCATGTCTTACTGTCTTTCTGATTAAATTTGCCCTCAGTAGAACTGATCTGGAAATGTGACTGAGAGACTGGCTTGTCAACTTCAAACTGTTTCAACTTCTGGTACAACTGTCTTTGAACATGGAATTGAAGCTGCATCTTGTTTTTCTTAAGGAGTATTTTTAGCAGCAACATGTTGGGAGGTTCTTCTCATTTGGGCTAAGATGAAACATCACATTTTGTCTGGAAACTTTAAATTAACTGTTAACTGCTCCTCAACTAGAAAGCATTCTTAACCAGGAATGGCCTGCATGCTTGCTATCTGTTATGCACATGTTAAAATTGCACAGTATCCAAATGAGTTGTGTGCAAGAGAAAATACTTTAAGATGGGGAACTCTATTGTTTCTCTGTGTCTAATTCCAGAGGAATGGCTTGCCTAGTAAGTCAGCACTGTGTAATTCACTGATCTTTGGGTTGACATAAGAGAATTTCTGGCATCAAGTGCTTTCAGCGTCTTAACTGAAAATGCAAAGACTGATGTCTTAATCTGCTATACATCTAGGTGATGAAAAGCTCAGTGATTTCAGAGGAAGCTCAAACAAAGTGAACTGTTGCATCTTCAACATTCTTGTGTTGATTTGCTTGTGCATAGAATCAGAAACTTCCCCCATTGCTTAGTTGGTTTAATTCTGTATTTTCTGCTGTACTGTTCAGGTTTTCACCATTCTTGCAGGTGGTTTGACTTGACATGAACTAGATTGACTTTGTTTAGACAGGCTTCTTTGTTCAGGTCAGCAAGGCAGTGTATAATGAGTTTTCTGTGTACCAGAACAAGTAGTATCACACTATTTTTGCTGTACAACCATGAGATAACCCAGTCTAAAATTCCTGTTGGCAGGGTATGTAATCTGACACTCCTCAGTTGATAAAATGTGTGTGTATGATAAGATGAGAGTTGTAACTCTTGGTATGTATATGCTAGGGGGTTAATATTTTATTACAAAACATTTTCTGACAATTGTACTTCAGGATTTGTATATGGTTGTTTCAATCAACAGAATTTAAAATGTATCCTAGAGTATGTGCTTTGCCTTGTCAGCAAAGCAGTTGGCAGTACAGGCAATTATGAATTTATAACTCCAGACCATGAAAATGTATTTAATGATAGTATGTATACTGAAGTGGCATGTATAAAAGGCTTCATTTTAAAGGAGGTAATATCTGAAAAAGGAATCACCATCTTTAATACTGAAAGCGTTAAGAGGGGTTTGTTTTGCTGTAAATATGAATTGCATATTGGAATAATGCCTGTGCAGCATGCATAATAGAGTTCTGTTTTTATTTCCTAATTTCAGTATTTTCTGTCTTGAAACATACAGGATCATGGTTTTGCACAGTTTGAGTAATGGTACCGAGGTGATATTAATGTGGCTGTTTAAAATCAAACTAATTATATGTGCCTGAAAGAGCCACATTAGTGTGATTCTAGCTCCCTGGTGCTTTTTTGGAGTCCTGGAGACAGCCTAGTGAATAGGGCTGAAAATTCATTCTGTATTTGATTAAATGGAACAGACTCGTTGCTTCTTACCCCAGCAGGGGCTAGGAGATCTCTTGATCCCCGAAGCGGCTCATAGACCCTGGGAATTCCATTAGCAAGCACCTGAGGAATTTCTGCCCTGCAGTGCCTTTTTTTAGTAGTAAGGGGGATGGGGTGGGGGGAAATAGAACCAGAAGTATATCATTCCTGATGATAGGTGGGGGAGGCTGCACTAGAAGAATCCATATGTTGGCAGATCTGAAATCAAGGCATGACTTAATAGCTTATCTGGTAAGTGAAAAAGCCCAGCCCCAAAGAATACTAATAGGCAGACACTAGCATTTAAAGGAGGATTGTGCTGTACTTGGAACACTAAAATTAGCTCACTCACCTTTATTATTGAAACCATCTGATTCCCTGTCTTTTGACTTGGAAGAGGGCACACTGGTGGAAGACCAATAATAAGCATTTATATTTGGTGAGTTTCTTGAAAATGGAATATAATAGGTGATGGAATATGTTTTGTATTCTGTCAGTTTATATCTTTTTGCTTCTCTTCTGTAGTGTTAAATAACCTTTTGTGGTCAGCTGGTAGCCCAGTGCAAATATGTGCTTTGGAAAGCCTTTGAACTACTGTCCTTTTAAAGAACAGATTCTGTCAGTAAAAACTAGAGGTTATAGATGTGTTTTCCCTATGGGAGAACTATATCTGGCTGATGATTTACAGAAATTTTAAATTATTAATCTTGGGAAAGTTCATACTCAGAATTATTGCTACTTCATTACAATAGCAACATTGATGCTTAAAATTGATTTAAAATGTGAGCTTATGAATTGCACGATGCTTGTCAGAAATACTTGACCATTATCTTTTTGCGCTGAATGATTTTGAGTTTTTCAGCAATTGGCTCCTTTTTAACATCCAGTACTTCGGATCTGGGTCTAGGTGTTTAATAACGTTAATGATTCATTTGGAAAAAAATAAACACCTTGCCTGACTATAAGCACTGAGATTTGCAGATAATTAGCGCTTTAGTCTTCTGTTTAGTCAGTTGATTTTTAAGATAATGCTTCTTCTCCTTTCCATCTTCACACACACAGAGTTTGATTTTGACAATCCTTTTGACATAAGATTTGTAAAGCTTTTTTTTTTTTGACAGCTTTAGATTCCTTGCTAAGGTTAAAACATTTCCAGTTGACAAACTGAAAATATTGGAAAGCAGCGATACATATTTGCATATGTAAATTAAATGATTTATATTTGCATTAGTTGTAGTGGCTTTTTTGTTACAATATATTGGAATAAGGTAGTTTCTGCCAAAATACAAATTTGGAATCCAGTTTTAACAGTTTCATTGTAACAGATTCATTTTCAGCCAGCAATTTATAATTTGGAAATATTAATGTGAGATATACTCATAAGAGGCCCATCAAGTATTGTACTTCAAAATAATGTGTCGGAATTCTATACGTCAGCCTCCCTGATGGAGTTTAATATGTAAAAATACTTCTGAAGTAGAACTGGAAACTGTCATGGCTAAGGCTGTGATTTTTTTTTAAAGCTAATCAAGATTGACATGAAAGTAATAAAAATGGAGCAAATGGCTTAAATATCAGCAGAGTCGCAACAAGATGAAAAAGTTACACTGCAGTTATAGTGAATCAATGTTGCATTTATGGTTACAGTACTTTGACCTTTGTCCCTAAAGTTGATGTATTGTGCAGGGGTTCTGATGTTGAGACTCTACAGTTATCATAGTAAGCAAGATTTGATTTCTCATAGTAAACTTCTTTGGAATAACTTGCATAGGAATTCTACCAGTATTGATCTTTCTCCTGTATTCTTGTGTGGTAGAAGTTGGTTTGATTCATTTGCAAGTATGGTTGGCAGTGATGTAGATGGTCTGTTAGGTCTGAAAAGCATGAGATGCTGTGTACTCCCTCTGCTGGCCAGCTCCTATGGCAGAGCAGTGAAAGAATACAGTACCTGTTGAGGCACTTTAAGGCAGTGGTCCCTATGTCAAGTTCCAGTAGCTTGTCTGTTTTAAGAACAACAAAAGCCCAGTGGTTGGGTACAGGAGGCAGTAATTAGGGATCTAAACTATTGTCT